TGGTGGGAAGGTGTAAGGGTGGTGGGATTGGTGTTGAAATGCTGAATGTGAATAATTATTGTGAACAACTTTATGAAAGTAAAATTTTAAAATTAAAAAAATAAAAAAGAAGTCGCTCAGTAATCTCCCTGTGCATTGGAGTCCCTCAAAGCCCAGACGAGCTGTTTTATCTCAGAGATAATTGCTCTGAGAGATAGATGTGTATGATAGGAATGAAGGGTGACTGAGTCCCTGGCCCTGGACGTCATTATCAGAATGTGAAAAGGACTTAATGTTCAGTGCCATTCTGGTATCTTTTTTAATATTCTTTAATCTTCTTAATATCCCATAATCTGTTTAATGTTTCAACAAGCTTTTGCCTAAGATCTAAGAGAATTTACCTACAGGGTTGGTGTGAGGGTCCAGTGGGTGAGGTACTTGCCATGTGTGTGGCCAACCCAGGTTCAATCTACAGCACCACATATAATCCCTGAGCACTGCCAGAAGACCTGAGCTAAACCAGGTGTGACACAAAAACCAAAACCAAAAGAAAACAACAACAAAAAGAAATTACTTCAGTTTCCTGTTTATATTTTTAATTTTTGTTTAAACCACTGATGAAATAGCCTATGTACTCTCACTCATCTCTTCATGGGAGAGATTATTTCTAAATAATTAATCATCAAAGTATTGATCCTGCCCTACCCATCTGATCACCCCTGTTATCCACCCTATTACAACATCTAAGCATTTAGAGTTCCAAAACAAACAGCAGCTCTCTGCCCTCGACACTCCAATTTAATTAGACATGTGTTGAGCAGATGTCTAGACATGAAAACAGATATGGGAACCATATTTGTCCATCTTCTTAACAAGAACTATAGGTATTGGGAGCTGGAGCGATAGCACAGCACGTTCGCCTTGCACGCGGCAGACCCAGGTTCAATTCCCAGCATCCCATGTGTTCCGCTGAGCACTGTCTGTGCTTTACTGGGTGTGACCCAAAAATGAAAAAAAAAAAAAAGTATAGGTATCAGAGATTGCAATATATGAATTCAGACAATTCCAGGAATTCCTGGTATAGGTTTGTCATAACTAAATAATGTGGTGGGATTGGTTCAAAACACAAACTCTAAGGTCAGGCTACTTTTACAGTAATCTTTCACTGTCTGGTCAGAGTCTTCGCTGCCCGCAGACCTCTTTATTCATCCCTGCTTCTTCCTTTACTATTTCTTTGACTTTAAAATCTTTTTTGTTTTGTTTTAGAGACAGACCTGGCAATGCTCAGGGCTTACTTCTGGCTCTGTGCTCAGGGATCACTCCTGGAGATACCTGGAGAACTATGGACAGTGCTGAGAATCAAACCCAGCTCAGCCACGGGCATGGCAAACACTTTACCTGCTGCCTCCAGCCCTAATCTTAACAATCTTGTCTTGTGCTGCCTCATTATTCAATTCTGTGTCCCACACTTCAGATAAAGTGAGCCATCGCGAAAACGTTTGTGTTTTGATACTCCTAACCTTTTGATATTCCACACAGTCCTTTTAACACCAAGCAGTTCTTTTCCAGTCTGGATTAACAGCATAATGGCTTCGAGTACCTGCCTTGTAAGCGAACAGTAACAGATTCCGAAACCCAGTGTCCCACATACATTGAGCGCTATCCCGGCAACTCTGTAATTCATGGTGCCCCAAGCAATTTCCAGTTGCTCTAAGGCTAACAGCATGCAAGCGCCACAAACAGGGGTGCAACCTGGTAAGTACTGCAACTAAAAATAATAATAACAAATGATGTGCAAGTTCCGAGGCCCGGAAGAGCCACCTTTGCCAGCAGGAATATAAACATTGCAGCAGCCTCCAGTGAGCATCCCAGCAAAGCTTGAGTGCAAGTATGTCTCCCCTAAACCCATTACATCAGTAGTATCAGCAATAACAAAAACGGGAAAGGGGAGGGAAAGAGAGTTATTTTTAAGTTGTGGGGACAATAGTAAATGGCAACAGTAAAGCAGGTCGGGCACCTGCCTTGCGGAAACTGACCGGAGTTCCTTCCCCAACACCAGAAATGATTCCTAAGAAAAGAGCCAGGAGTAACCCCTGAGCACTGCCAGATGTGCCCCCCTCCAAATAAAGAAAAATACTGCCCAGGATCAAAGAGATGTTTCAATGGGCTGAGCACATGCTTTGCTGCAGGAGGTCCAGGGTTCAGTCCCCATGAAGCCCTCGGAGAAACTCCCCAGCATAGAACCAGGAGTAGTACCTGGGTAGTGCTGAGTGCAGCTTCCCCCCCAAAAAAAAAAAAACTTGCGGTTTTTGAACACGTGAAGAAGCTGAATGTAATTATAAAAGAGATTTTGATCAACCTTATGACCCTGAGCACAACAAGATAAATACTAATTATGCCTATTTCCTTAAGGTATCAACAGCAATATCAACAGCAAGATAAATGCTAATTATGTCTATTTCCTTAACCCAAATGCCTTTATAAAGTAATCTGCCTCCTTGGAACATCTACCACAGTCATTCCTCTATTGAACACAATTTGCTGTCATTCAATGCTTAGTTTCTCTGTGAGGTGACAGCTCCTTGAGAGAAAGAAAACTGTGTCTCATTCTTAGATGCCCGGGTTCTCTCTCGGGGAACAATGGCTGGCACAGAGAAGTGCTCAATACATTATTTTTTTCTTGAATGAAGGAATTAACCAGCAGAGATTTCTATAGTGATGTTATTACAAACTTCTCTTCACATAACCTGAGCAAGATTATAAAAATAACACTGAAAACAGTTCAGAGAACCCAAACTGGGAAATTGTTGGTATGATAGAACCCTGAAGGTTTTACCCCGCTTCGCATAGACTAAATGGAAAGCTGCTTCTTTTAAGTGACTTTGACTGGCAAGAATGGGATAGTGGTTTCTGAGAAGGTGGGACTGAGTTTGAAACTGCCTGTTAAAAGTTTAGCTTCTCAGGCTTAATGACCCCCTTGGTGAAATACAATAATCTTCACACTCTTTCCTCTAAGGAAACTTTTTTTGTAGTATTTTCAGCAGTTTTTCATAACAAACAATACAAATATTATTGTTATTTCAGTTTTGCTTTGGAGCAGGGGTTTGGGTTTGGGATGGAAACATCTGAAATATGGTGGTGGGAAGGTGTAATGGTGGTGGGTTTGGTGTTTGAATATTAAATGTAATCAAATATTGTGAATATTGTGAATATACGTAAAGTAAAGGCCCTCCCGTTGATCATCGATTTGCTCGAGCGGGCCCAGTAACGTCTCCATTGGAGACTTTGTTGTTACTGTGTCTGGCATATCGAATACTCTCGGTAGCTTGCCGGGCTCTCCGAGAGGGGCGGAGGAATCGAACTCGGGTCGGCCTTGTTGGCTGCGTGCAAGGCAAACGCCCTACCGCTGTGCTATCGCTCATTTAAAAAAAGTTTAGCTTCTCCTGATTGTACAATTCAGTTCACTTCACTGCCTTTGACTATCCAGGCTCCGTAGAGGGAAAGACCAGCTGATGGTTGACAAAAAGGCCCCAGTGGAATTCCCAGCAAGATGCTGCAGGTACCAATTCTGAACACACACACCATATAGTGAGGCCAGCTGAGGCCCGCCGGACCCTGGGAGCACACTGCTAGGTTTTCCATTTAAATTTGATCTTGTAAATAGCATTGGGGTTGCTCCCTGCAATGCTCCAGGAGTGAAAACACAAGATGGGTTTAAAGCATTTTTCACAACCAGTTAATCTACCATGAAAAGTCTCTGTAAATGACAATGTGTACAGATTTTTTCTGTTCAGATGCCCAATTGTAAATTTCTTGTTGAGATTTGTTTCTATTGCTTTTGTATGGAATTACATTGCAACAATAAAGAAAAAAGTACCTTAAAACAATAAAGTAAAAAAAAGAGTTTAGCTTCTCCTATAGCAGCAGCATTATAACAAGATGGTTAAGAGTCCTGGGTCTGAAGTTCAAATACCTAGGTGTCAATCTCCATAAGACAGTAGTTATATTCTTAGGCAAGTTCTTTCATCTCTTTGTGCCTCATTTTCATTGCCACAATAAGTTGCCTCCGCAATCCCTCAAAGGGATGTTGCTAAAGCTACAATCATATTTAAGGGGTTTGGAACAGTAACAGGCACTTCATTTTATTTTTGGTTTGGGGGATCACATCTGGTGGTGCTCAGGGCCTACTCCTGACTCTACAATCAGGGATCACTTCTGGCGGTGCTCAAGGGAACATATAGGGTTCTAAGGATCAAACTCAGGTCAGCAGCATGCAAGGCAAATGCCCTACTCAGGGTCATATCACACCAACCCCTGGCACTTTGCTAGCTATATAGAAGCCCCATCACACCTTCTATTTGACAATGTAAGTTCCAGGATGTTAAGGATAAAATGAGTTTGTTGCTTTTGTTTTTTTGAGGGTGGGGATTCTCAAGTCATGGGGTCCCTCTGGGAGACTCTCAAGCAATCTAGCCAGTGGTTCAATGTGGATCCCCAAGAGGTTGCAGTGTATCTTGTGCCTTGAGCACAGGGGATTAGCAAGGTCACCCTGCTGGTGCAGGGGAACCCCAGGGCCACACCCAGCAGTGCTCATCAAAGCATGTAGTGCTGGGGATTCAGCCTGAATCTGCTGCATAAAAGGCAAGCACCTTAACGCCTATACTGTGTATCAGTTCTGGTATTTTAAAAAAATTTCCTACGGTTCCTAGCAACTAAAACAAAAACTAGAGGTTCCAAAGGAATGTGAAACGTATTGGAGGTAACAGAAACAGGAGGCACGAGAAAATGAAGATAAGTTCCGAGTCTAAACGCAGCTAATTTAAATAAAAGGGCTCTTGACTTGTTCTTTGCAAATCTGCAGTCCTTTCTTTGTAGTGAGTCGCGAGGTGTTTCATGATTTGGTGTCTTCCCTGCCCTCTTCCGAGCACGTAGGTTGGTGTGATGCACATTTCAGCCCTTAGAACTGCTGGCCTCCTGACAAGCGGCTGTTCGCATAGTCTGAGGGATGAGCTTGCTGCAGCAGAAAAAGTGGGTTACATTACAGTATTGCTTGGCTACGAGAGATGAAGGGCCAATAATTTAAGAAAACAGCGCACAGAGAGGTTTGGGCCAGCCAAGCACTTTGCGAAAGGCTCGTCTGGACACTCTCCAGCGGGGTACTCGCGAAGGTGAGTTGCCCTAAAGCCGGCGGCGGCGTGCCCAGAGAGGGCCCCCGCCCCCATCTCCAGCAGAGACCCCGCTGTGGGGAGCCGGAGGCTCGATGAGTCATTCTCACCTCCCCAGCAGGTGCGGACGCCCGGGCGGACGCTCGGACGCCCGCAGCGCCCCTGCGGCGCCCCCTCCCGGGCAGCCTCCTCTCCACGGGCTCTGACCTTGCCGCGGGCAGCCAGACTGGCGCAGTCCGCGCGCCGCAGAGCCGGGGGCGCCGCCGGGGCCGGGGGCAGGCGTGGGGAGGGCGCCCCTGGACGACCCGGCCTGCCGCCCTCCCGCCGGGCCCGGCAGACTCGGCCGGGCGGCGAGGAGGAGCGCGCGGGGCGGGGCGGGGTGGGGCGGGGCGGGGCGGGCGCGCCCACCGGCCGGCCAAGGGCTGCGGGCGCGAGCGCACGCGCGGCGCGGGCCCGGGGGGCGGGGAGGGTGGGTGTGCTCGGGGCGCGCGCGCCGCCGCCGCCGCCTCTGCCCGCCGCGCCGCCCGCGCCGCCTGCTCCCGACGTCGGCCCCGGCTCGCCACTTCCCCAGCGACCATGGGCGGCGCGGAGTCCGCGCCGTAGCGGCCGCCAGTCCCTGACCCAGGGTCCCGCGTCTTGACAGTCGGGTAAGCGGGGGCGGCGGGTGGCGGGGCACCCGGCAGGCATCCTGAGGGGCGGGTCTGCGCGCACCCCTCCCGGTATTCTGAGATGCCGGTGGACGCCCCCCACCCCAGGAGGTCCCGGCGGCAGGGGAGATGCCCCGGGCGCTGTCTGCCTGGGCAGCCCTGCGGAGGCCCCGGGTGCAGGGCATCGTCCCCCTGAGAGCCCCCTTGATTGCTGCAACTCCGCGTTTGCAAGGGTGGTGAGTGCAGTTGCCTCCGTAGAAGACCATTGGGGGACGAGAGGAGCCCCCGGAGCCTGGAGGTGGACACGGACCACCCCCACGGAGGCCCCCCTATGGAAGGGGGAGCCGTGACCGTGTCCGGGATGTGCCCTGGGGGCCGGGCAGCAACTTCTCCTTTAGGATTCAGTGTACCCTAGCGTGTCTTGGTTCCAGGGTGAGAGGTGGAAGTCCAACCTGGGCCGGTGCCTTTGTGCATGCCCCCTCCCCCTGCACCCCCAGTATTAGGATCCTTCTCCATCCCCCTCGGTTGCCCAGCTGACCGCAAGCTGGATTTGTTGCAGGCAGGAACTTCTGGAAGCGCAGAGGGTTAAGGGAGGGGCCAACTCCTGAGCACCCCCCCCCCCCCCAGCAAAAGAATAAAGGAATGATCTGAGCCCCTGGGTTTGGCCAGGGAGGATAAAACTTGGAAGGCCACAAGGTATGGTATATTGGGGGAAAGTATCCCTGGGAGGCAAAAAAAAAAAAAAAGCAACGAGAAACCACGTTTGTGATTATGTTGCATTCGGGTTGCCAGCATTGGGCTTTGCAGTAGTAGGTGCTCAGTAAATGTGACGGTGTAAAGTAAGTGGGCGAAGGCGGTTTCACTGGGAATGAGACTTTGCAGTCACTAATTGCCACAGACGCCTGGGTTTCAGGGTGTGGCTTCCTTCCCTGGCAGTCCCACGGTCTTGATGTCTTAGGGTGGAGAGACCTCTGACTGTGTCTCTGGGGGGCTGGTGGAGAGAATGAGGATGGGGTGTTCTGAGACCACCCTCTCTGCCACAGAGGGAGAGCACACAGTCCGTAGCAGTAGACTGGGGGTCCCCTGATGGCTGCCTAGGGTACCTTTGCCCGTCAGTAACCTGCTGGCGAAGGAAGTGCAGAGACTTACTAGAGCCTGTTGTCTGAGGAGTGATGCACCCTCACCTTTCCCAGGTCGCTGCTAGCATTTTCATTTCACCCAGATCCCAAACTGCAGAACTAACAAGAGGTTCTGGTTTCTTGAATGGGGTGGGCTTTTGGGGGTGATGAGGGCCAGTGGCTGCGTCTCTCACCTGCTGGTGCCTGGGGGACTAAGCCATGCTGGGGATCGAACCTAGGGTTCCTGCATGCAAGGCATGCACTCAGCCCTTTAGGCTGTTTCATTGGTCCTCCATTCTGGTTTCTTATTCAAACTGGAATTGGGGAGAGGGGGGATGTTTGCTAACCAATGGAATTCTCTAGAAGAGTTGTCCTTGCTCATCCTCCCTTCTTCCACACAGCCAAAATGAATGACATTCTCCTTTAATAGAAGTGGCTTCTTCAGATGCTTGAAGAGAAATCATGTTTGTGAGAGAACAAAACAACCAGTTTGCTAATCATTTGCTAATTATTTGCTTCCTACTGCCATCCCCAGGTACCAACCCAGGGCCTCATACATGCAAGGTAAAGGGTCTGTCCGGGAAGCAGAACCATCCATTAGCTTTGATTTTAACCAATGGCTGCCTGAAGCATGGGTGTGGCCCCTCTCACAGTTCCAGCCGGTGAACCCTAAAATTTAGATTGGCTAAGCTGAATGGTTTGTAATCCCCATTCAGCGCAAACTCATCATTAGACAGCCAACAGGGTTGTGTATAGAGAAAACTCAGAGGGAACCAGACTGCAAATATGGTCTGTACTACAATTTAGAGATTTGTCCTAAGGGTGATGAAGAATGGGTGTTATTCCTAAACTGGGCTGTTGGTATCACGCCCATTGTGACCCTGGAAAAATAGTTAAATAGCTTCCACTGCTTCTGGGGTATTGGGCCTTGGATATCTTTTTAATGTCTGTCACTTGATAAACATTAAGGTTACACAATTCCTGGACTGGAGGGTGGCTCGGCAATGGAGCGCTTGCCTTGCATATGTGAGGCCCTGGGTTCAGTTCCCTCATTTTACCAAGGGGGGGAAAAAACCTTATAAAATCCTAAGAATACTATCTAATCTTTTCTAAATACAACATGAGTCTGCAAATCAAAGTATTCCAGAATGAGTGTGAAGGATATCGCCATGTGGACTTAATCTTTAAAAAAATTTTAAAAAATCTTCAAAGGAAAAATTTAAAAAAAGGGAGAATAAAAATAATAATAAATTGGTCCTTTCCCATCTCACATGCATGTCTACAAATGTTTCTGAATTTTAAGAACCGAGTCTTCAAGCTTTGACTTTCCATTTCTTCTGCAACTACACTCTCATGGTTTTGTTTTCCTCCTTCCCCCATCCCCACCCCCTCCATCCCTTCCTCCCTTCCACAGGGCTTCCCTTTCTTCACCTTGCAGAGCAGGACCTTTCCAGGCCCAGTTCCTACATTCCCTGTATTTTTCTTCCAGTACACCTGTGCTTAAGTGGATACTATTTATGCAAATAGTTGCCTTTCTTTTTAGCTCCAGAATTCATTATCTTCCAGCCCCACCTGCTTTTCTCCAGCAGCACTCCTTGGTTTCATCTTTCATCATTTCCCAAATTGATTTATTCATTTCTAATGGGAATAGCATGACCCTCTCCACCCCTCAATCTTAATGACCAAGTTCTGACCGGAAGTACTTCCCAGCTTTGGACCAAGAAACCCAGCCTTTCAGCGTGCCTCTGGAGATGTGATGCTTTTCTCCCCCCCATTTAACATCCCTCTTCATCCTTCTAGCAATTCCCCCTCAGAGACCCACAGACATTTACTAGGTGCTACCTACTTACTGGGCTCTGAGAAATAACCACAGTTCCTGGCCCTTGAGGCTTTCACATAGAATCAGTGTCATTTCTCTAATAATTTACTATAAGCAGCAAGAGAGGGGTAAATTACAGCTTTACCGAGTATCTGCAGGAATCAATATAGAGTATGCCTTTTCTCAGGCATCATTGAAACACAACTTCTGTGCCTCCTCTAGCAGCCACATTCGTAGCCCCCGCCCCCCTCCTCCTGCAGCCATTGCTCTGCCAAAAGTACTTTGCCCATATGCTTCCAGCCAGTCCCGCATACTCCCAACTTCATAGGAGAATAATGACAGTCTCTTATATGTTGGGAGAACAGGTTATAATTTACAGTCTTTACCTATCTCATCTCTGTTTGGTTTTAAGTATTTCAGCAGGGGTCTTACTGCTTTCCCAGCAGTGCATGGCTGGCGCGCTCTCTCTCTCTCTCCCTCTCTCCCTGTCTCTCCCTATGTCTCCCTCTATCCCTCTCTCTCCCTCTCTCTGTCTCTCCCTGTGTCTCCCTCTCTCCCTATCTCTTCCTCTCTCTCCCTCCTTGGTCTCTCTCTCCTGCACCATTCCCTGAAGCTTCTTTTGAGCCTCCTAATCAGACTTACAGTAAAGTGACCAGGATATACTACAGTTATCACCAAACAACTCAATCTATAGAGTCCTCAAATCAAACAATGCACTCACTAGTCAGTCCTGTGACTAACCAGCACTGTCCTCCTTCCCAGCCTCAGATATTTCAATTCTCTGTGTCTTTTTCTCCCTCAAATCCAAATTACTCCTTCCCTGCTAATCAAATTAATACCTTAAACGTGATCTCAGATCAGTTTGGGGGAATGATTCTGAGGAGAAGGCACATTTCCTTCCAGCACCCAGCTGGCTTTAGACTATGTAAACCATGATGGAGTCCCCATATAGCTCCATGCCTTGGCATGTGCTTTTACTTCTTCCTGGAATGCCTTATCCCCCCCACCCTTATCCACTGGGGTAACTCCCACTCACACTTCAAAATTTAGCTCAAGCAACACCTTTTTTTTAATCCTACACTTATGCCCCCTACACATGCACATACTCACTGCATCCTCACAGGCTGAGACTCCGTGTGTCCGTTCTACCAAGTTACTAAGTGCTTGAGGTGAGCATAGCAGGCTGCCCTCAGTAAACATTCATAGAATCAACAAGTAAGCGGTGAGAATGAAGGTGTATTAAGTGCCTTGCGAGCAGCTGAATCCATGCTTCAGCACCCACCTCCCCCTACTCCATCCCCCAGGCAGGGAACAGGGAGTGCCTCTCCATTCTCCATCTTGCTAAAGAGCCCTGCTTGCTAAGTGCAGTCACATCAGCCAATCACCGATGGTGTAATGTTCCTTAACTGTTGCTCTGCT